AACAGATCTCAGGAAAATTGTTGAAGAACTGGCAAGAGCTAGGGAAACTGCTGAGTTACAGAAAGGCTTGTGCAGTGGCCCCTAAGAAGATGGAAAGAACCAGCATGGTCATGCAAAGTGGGATCAGAAACAAAGGACAGTTCTTTCGCAGGGAGCCCTCAGCAGAAGACTGAAGTGCAAAGCTATTGGAGGAGTTCAAGAACATAAGATTTTTCCCTGAGGGAGGTTCCTTTGAACAGGGATAGGATTCACAAGTCAGGAGATCTGGTGGAATAAAGCACAGCAGGAAGTCCTCTTGCAGGAGATCTGATCTGGGGACTACTGGAAAAGACTTGAGAGTTCTAAGACCTGCTAGCCCTCAGCAGAAGACTGAAGTGCAAAGCTATTGGAGGAGTTCAAGAACATAAGATTTTTCCCTGAGGGAGGTTCCTTTGAACAGGGATAGGATTCACAAGTCAGGAGATCTGGTGGAATAAAGCACAGCAGGAAGTCCTCTTGCAGGAGATCTGATCTGGGGACTACTGGAAAAGACTTGAGAGTTCTAAGACCTGCTTCTCAACCACAGGTGGATGGCCTGCATAGTGAGGCCTGCAAAGGGAGTTAAAGGAAGGGAGGCAGAATGATTAACTCTCAGGGAAGAATGAGGGGCTGCATTGTAACCTTGTTTTATTATCCGGTGTTTGTGATTCTTTATATAAACAAAAGGATTTGAACTGTAACTAAGAGAGACAATATCTGTTTGCATGGAAAGATTCCAAGGTGAAACTGAGGAAGGCGGAAGGTGCCCTAGGTTGGAGGCACTATCACAGGGAACTAGTTTATTTAACTAATCATTTTCATCTTTGGCTTCTAAAATTGACACAAACTGATCATGCAGCAGGCATTTGCTTAGTTGCACTGATTTTGTCATTAAATAAAAATATGGGCAATCTTAAAAATACTTCTTGCTTACTACTCTTTGTAATTAGATGATTTGTAATTTTCTTTTTAATATTTCTCACACATGCATACCCACAGAGAGTTCTGATTTTTCTAGTTCTGATTACATCTTACCTATCTGAGTTTTGGAGAAGATCTGTTTCAGCCCCTTCAGGAAGCAAGAGCACTAAATCTAGAAGTGAAACCAGGTGAGGTCCAGTAAACCATTTACAGTCATTTGCTCTCTGAAAAGCAATACAAACATTGAAAAGTTTAAATTCACACTTTGCATAATCGTATAGCATAACAATATGACCACTGGGCTGTGTCTGAAAATGAGAAAAATCAAGTTATGAAAGATGTATACAGATTCCCATAAATGATCAAAATATACTAATCTGTCTCAAGATCAAACATTCCCACTCTCTCTCTCCCCAGCTCTTCCACTCCAAGCTATTTATTCTATTTTTATCTGAACGAGCAGGCTCTCTCCACATTTCTACTCTTCCCTGCCCCACCTAACAGCACCACCCTTTGAGCCTGTTAATGTGATCTTTAAATCAACTGGCTCAGTCGATGTTGAGCAATGTGAGGCACTCTCTCCATCACATGTGTCATGACCATGAGGGTTAGGCAGCAGCCTGGGGACTAAGAGGTTAACTGTACCTAAGCCAGGTAGCAGTCAGCCAATAAAAATGCAGATAGGGATTTCAAACTGGAACAAAGGAATTTTTGGGTTTTTCCCTCCTTTGTCCCTGGGGAGTTTCTCTCCAGATACTGAGTGAGACAGACATGTCTCTCTCGCCAAGAAAAGACTCTTCACTATCTGTAAGTAGGGTAAAGTTTAGATAAATCCGTTAGGTTTTATTGTTTTATGGTTTGGGAATGGGAATCTGATGTCTGAATTTAAAAATGGGTTTTCCTCTCCTTTGAAACTAAACTTTTGGCCCATGGGAGTTCCCCATGAGTGTATTAATTGGTGACTTTCCCATCTAGTCATTATTCTTGTAACAGGAGTATTGTGGTGATAAAAAAAAGTTCTTTTTTTTTTATTAACCTGGTATTGGTTAATTTTTGTGTCCTGGTTTTACTTTAGGACTGAGATTTCCCAAGTGATCTCTTACCTTGTTTTCTTACCATTACTTGGGTGGTGATAGAGGATTTTTATCCCCCAAAATCTAGGTTTTTAAGATTTTGGGTGGAGAGGGAGTTTTATACCAAAGCCTGGAAAGATAAGATTTTGGGGTACTTTTGCAGGCTCCCACTTCCGCATTCATCGTGCCAGAGTGGGCATTTGGTCTTGACAACAGGATTCAAATGTGCTGCTATCACAGGACTTACAGTTCTCAACAACCTAACAAACTAGACTGGGTCTGGAACAAGGAATCAAACCCAGATCTCCTGTACTACTGGGACCTCACTTGGCCAGTCCTAGAAACTCTTTAAATTAAAAGCAAAAAAAATCAATGCAATGTTACAAATTATATTTTGAATACATAAACCAGGAAAGTTAATGTTTTGGTTCCTATGAAACTAACTTTACCCCCTTGCCCGAAGTATTTTGTCTTATAAAAATTAAAAATTTCTATTAAATATGTGTTATGTGGCAGGACTTATGGGTATTGTGGGAAATGAGGCTTTCAATTTTTTTTTTTTTTTTTTTGCTGAGATTTCTACACTCATAATATTGAATTAACCTGAATTTAATACTCTCATTTGTTTTTGTTTTTAAGGGTTTGGTTATGTACAGTTAAATCACACTTTCAATGTTATGCACCAGAAGCATAATAGCAGTAATTACAGGCTCATAAGGTCCCAAAAGATGCCACCAGACCTTCTAAAATTCCTTGTGCCCTCTTACGGTAGGTAAATAATGCATAGATGGGAATAGTTGATGGGAGGGATCTTACAGTAACTGTATGGCTCCCACCAACAATGCAGAATCCAAGTATTTCACAACTTTAATGATCATACAAAGTAATATCACCATTTTACAAATGAGAAACAGAGAAATAGAGCAAAACAATGTTTCAGACTTAGGTGCCTCAAAGGGAGGTTCATAAACCTATAATAAAGACACAAAGTTAATACAGGTTGAACCTCTCTAGTCCAGCACTCTCGGAACCTGACCAGTGCCGAGCTAGATAATTTGCTGAACCATGGGAGGTCAATATTGTCTAGCAACACTTCCACTGCTTACTGGGCTCTCAGAAGACATTTAGGGATAAATTAGAGCCAAATAACAGCACAGAACATGGAGAGCCAGGATTGGAGGCTGTAAGCAAACTTGATGGGACCCTGGGAAACTTGGCCACACCCATAAGTGTCCATCTAACGCAAGAAGTCTGTGGCACGGTCAGAAACTGAACCGCAATCGCCTAAGCCCAGTCCAATATCTCAGTCAAAAGAGCATATTTTCTCTGTCCCATGGATAAATAACAATGTAATGATATACCAATATCACTAAGGAAAATGACATACATTTAAGAGTAAGTATGAAAAACTGCTGCCAAAAAAGTAATCTTAGGAGACGTCATTGAAAATATTTTGGAATGAAACAGGCATCTCAATCATAAATTCTGTTATTACTGCTGTGATGCCACAAGGAAAGTGTCATGTCACAGCATGTGTGTAGGACAAAGAGAAGTGGCTAATTATTCAGATGGTTATTAAGATTACATACACATAAAATTAGAAAGCTATCTCCAACAATGACCCAATTCAGTATAGCATCCTGAATCAGGACACAACCGAATGGGATGTTAGCATGTAATGAATTGTTTTCCTAAATCAGGGCCAGAAGAGTGATCTTTAGAAAGCCTGATGTGTATACTAGGGATGTCAATCTGTAGTTGACTACACGATTAACCAGTAAGCCTCAGCTTATCAAAATCCTGTTGACTATACACATGCACGCACACCTCCTTTTCTGCCTCAGGTTTCAAGCCGGTTACCCACATGTATCAACTCCCACAGAACAACCTCCCCTGCCCTTCCCCTGCATTGCTGCCTCTCTACCCAAGGCACCAGCAAGGGGTGGGGGGCACACAAGAGCCAATACTCTGGTAAGCCAGCTCTCTTCACATGCTGGGTCCACAAAGCTGCCTTCCCCCACCTTACCACCTCCCACAGAGGCCCCATTACAGCTTCCCTACCACCCCCTCTCTCACAGAGCTTAAAAGCCAGCTTCGCCTTCCTCCTCCACCCCCGCACTGCTGCTTCTGTGCACGGGGAGGCTCTGTCCGTGAGCAGATACAGAACCAGCAGCTCAGGTAGCAAGGAGCTCTCCGGAAGTGCGGCCGGAGCACATTGGCTGCTGACCCAGCCCCTGGGGACTATTGAATAGTCATGTAACCGCTAAAATTTGATGCAGTTACACTATTATTCAGTTACACAGTATCTAATATCCCTAGTGTATACAGGCAGTCCCCCAGTTACGCGGATCCGACTTATGTCGGATCCGCACTTACGAACGGGGCTTTTCTCACCCCAGAACTCGCGGGTGTTAAAATGTTGTTAAATAGGATTAAAAATAAAAACAAAAGGAAGTGACTGACTTTGAATATTGTTTTTCTTCCGAGAAAGATGCTATGATAATTTGGTGATTAACGTATGCCAAGTAATACCCCACTCTGGCATCTCTCGCAGCTCTGGGGTTACAATGACCAGTTTGGGGAGGATGGAAATTCGGGGTTAAGTTACCACACTAACTTGGGAGTACCAAACCTGCACAGGGATCTGTGTGAACAATGCCTAGTCCAGGTATATAGGATAACGGATGCACAAAGGAGAACCTCTCTATTGTAGGAATCCACTCTCACAGCTCTCAGTGCTTTATGGGGGATTAAATGGCGCAAAATTAAAATCTACTTCCGAGAGAGAAATGAGGCCAGAGACCAGGAATTAAGGAGGTCCCAAGAAAGCACTGGGATGGAATAAAATAGAACTGATGAAGCAACAGAAAAGCAGATGTTATTTCAATAATGATAAACAATGCTTACCACTTCTAAAATATTGCTATTACTTATTTATCAGTTGTGTACTCTGCCTCGGGCTTCCTGTAGTCAGTCCCTGGTCAGTTTCAGCAGCAGCGGCTGAATCTGGAGCCAGTTCCGAGTTACGTACAAATTCAACTTAAGAACAAACCTATAGTCCCTATCTTGTACGTAACCCGGGGACTGCCTGTACTAGTGTAGTGGTAGCATAACTTGCTAACACTGCCCAACACCTCCCATTATCAGAATTTATTTTCAGATACTTGTATAAATGTGCCAAACTTCAGCCATTTGGGTTCTTAAACGGTTCCATGCTGGGTATCTACGTCAAGCCTTTTTTAAAAATTTCAATTGAAGCAGGATGGCAGCTAGGGGGAAAAATGTCTTGCCCATGTTAAAATTGGTAACCACTTCTTTGGAGAACTCCAGGGTACTCCTGCTTTATAGCACTCACAACAGATCGTCAGACTTCATCCCAGTAAATGGAATAGTATGTAGGTCTATAATTATAGACTGCAGCATAAACATAACCTTAAGTAGATGAAATTAAGGTTGACAGGCAAATTTAATTCTCGCATTTCTTAATTTTGAATGCTTGATTTTGCGTATTTAATCTCCTGTTAGCATATTTTCATATGCAATATATAAATAGTATGGAGCTAAAACTTTTTAAAGTAGGAACTTGCAATCTCACCTTTAATGATAAATCAATTTGGTTTTTGATATTTTGAATAACATAGCCTTCTACGCCCGCATGGTTGCTTGTCTTCAATAAACACCTTTAAAGTAAAATAGAGAAAGACAGCATCTCCTGGATATTGCATTACATTTCATTAAAATCTAGATGAAATTCTGGCTTTATTTTACTACATATTTTAGAAATGTGCATCTGTCTGTCCATCTGTGAGTCTGTTCAAGAACTCCTCCTAAATGGTAAGAGCTACGACCACCAAATTGGGTAGTCAGCTTCCTCTTATCATAACTTAAAGTAAGGTAAGGGTTTGGTTATGCCAGGATAATGGGATGTATGTGGATTTTGATTGTTTCCCATAAAATTGAAAGGGAGGGGTCTAGTAGGAGGGAGTTAATACTACAGAATAACCACAGGGATGCAGCAAGGGCCAGATATGGCGACCTGGATAACTATAATCCCTTGGAGCCTGCAAGGAGTAGGGGTGGTGAAAGGGACAGCTGTCTACTATATGTTTCAGAGAATTTGTCTGTCTGTTCCCGCAGCAGGGGAACATGCACTTCTCCCTTGGCTGTGCCTGCTATAACTGCAGCAACCTTAAAAAGGCACGTCTCATTTGGCCCCTAACTGCAGCAGTGAGAGAGGGCTGGGGTAGTCCTCTCTTTCTCAGGAAGCCTGCATAATGAACCTCTCCTCTCCAGCCCCCCTCCCCCCTGAGCAATGATTTAAATGAAGAAAAACAAAAATTAACTGAGTTAAGGACCTGAGCAACGCTGGGATAATCTGCTAGTAGGAAAAAAATGGGAATTTTAGCATCAACTTCAAGAGGGCCAGAATTTCACACTTAGGGTATGTCTACACTGCACGCTTATTTTGAAATAAATTATTCCGGAAGAAATATTCTGAAACAGCTTATTTCGAAATAGCACATCTACGCAAAAGGAAACTGCAAATTTAGTCTGAGGTAGGCTTTCCTAATGTGGACGTGCTACCTTGATTTAGAGCCCTAGGAGGCACTGGAAGTAACTACTTTGAATGGCCCTGGAGAGGAACTATTTTGAAATCGCAGCAGTGGTGCAACCATACTACTGCAATTCTAAAATAGCTATTTTGGAATAGGCGTTATTTCTCATGGAATGAGGTTTACAGAAGTCGGAATAAGCCGTTCATTATTTCAAATTTATTTCGAAATAACAGAATTGCTGTGTAGATGTTCATTGTTATTCTGGAATAATGGCCGTTATTCCGAAATAATGCTGCTTGTAGACGCTCCCCTAGTCTTTGGCGTTCATAAATGGACTAGCTTCAGTCTCTTGTTTTTTAAGTAAGAAAACTAAAATCAATTACCATGATCATAAAATGAACATGGTGGAATTAATGTGAGCTCCTAAGCAATAAGCATGATTTCTGAATGAGTTACTAAGCAACTAAATTGCATCAAGAGCTGTTTTTCTATGTTTTATACAGGATGCATACCTGAACAAAGTGTATTTTCCCTCTGCATCAAACTTGTCTACATACAACTGCAATATCTTTAAACTCTTCTTTCGCTAAAAGAAAAAGATTTTATGAATCATAGAATCATCAACAGTAGAACTGTAAGGGACCTCCAAAGGACCAAGCATCATCTAGATCATCTCTGAAGTATGTCTATCTACCTGCTCTTGAATATATGCAGTTAATTAAAATAAAACAAATTTAGCTCTTGTAACCCACAGAATGACTAAGTTACGTACCAGATGCTCGATAGGACAAAGGGTCATCACTTTCACCAAATCCTGCAGATGGAGAGAAGTACATAAATTTTGGTTGTACCTAGATAATTGCATGTTGCACAGAGCTGACTACATTCTAGTCCAATATGAACATAAAATCAATACATGTTTGTATAAAAAGGATAAAACTTACAAAAGGATCTAATTCACAAAAGCTAGGAAATTCAGAGCTGTTACATGTCGTTGTCTTTAAGCAGAATACTACACATACTGGAATTAAAGGGGTCTCAGGCAGCAAGGAAGGAAAAACAAGTGATAAGAGCTACAGTAAGCGCAGAGCAGTGAATCAAGGACAGAACAGTTGTGTGTAGGAGTCAACCTCAAATTTAGTACTGATGGGGGATAGCCATGAAACTATATCAACTAATAAAGTGGTATCAGTTTTGCCTTTCATAGGGGAACTTTTTCTGTCTTGCTATAACAGAAGGGGTCATTATAAAGATTAATTAGAATACCATTCTTTTCTGAATATAAACTAACAGATGTTTGTAGGTATTAAGGAGGAATAACTGAAAATACTGAAACAAAAGTAAACAAAATAACAGATAGTTATGACCTATATCCGTGGATGATCTAAAACTGAGAATCAAATAGGTGAACAGTTAATCAAATTTAAAAGCAAAACTTGAAATCTACTATATATTTTAGAATAGTGATAGAAATGTAGCCGTGTTAGTCTGGTTGTGGCTATTTTCTTTCACTATTTGATCTGAGGAAGTGGGTCTGGCCCATGAAAGCTCATCATCTAATAAACCATCTTGTTAGTCTTTAAAATGCTACATAGTCCTGTATTTTATATATTTTAGAGTGAGTGTGTGTGTGTCCCCATGTCTGTCCACCAGTGTGAGTCTATTTGTCCAAGAACTCCTCCAAAACGGTAAAAGCTAGGACCACCAAATTTGATATGCAGCTTCCTCTTTTCATAACTTAAAGCAAGGTCAAGGTTTGGTTGTTCCAGGACAAAGCGATGTCCACAGAATACAACCCTTTCACCTCAAACAGAAAGGGAGGGATATGAAAACAGGGACAGTTATGCTCATGTATAACCAAAAGGGGGCAGCAAGTGCCCCAACCCCAGGGAGAAGCCACTAGCTGGCAGCACAGCCCCCACCAAGCTGGCCTGCCCCAGGGAATAGCTGCCAACTGCTGCACAGCCCCTGCTGTCTTGGGAAACCATGGCATGTGGCCCTGTCCTAGGAAGAAGCTGACAGGTGGCCTACGTGGCCTGCCTCGCTGGCAGGCAAGTTGCATAGCCCCCGCCACCTCCAGACTCGGGCCACGCTGGGTAAGTTTTCTAGTACTAAATAACTGAGAATATAGAATATAGTTTCCAAACTTAATAAAGGTTTACCACTATCCCTGTAAGTGAAATCTATTAGGACAGAGCAGCCAGCTGTTTTGAGCCTACCTTGCTTGCCTGGTAGGGCAGACTATGTGCTGGATCAAAAGGTATGGCGGGCCAGATGTGGCCTGTGGGCTGGATCTTGTCCACCCAGTCTAATTTCAAGCCTAAACTTGTTGATGGCCAGTTGTATCCATTCGTTCTTGTGTCCACATTGGTCCTTAACTTAACTCTGTTCCCTCCCTGGTAATTATCCCTTAGCTGAATTTACAGAAAGAAACAGTCTCTCTCTTCATCTTTCTTTTGGTTAGGCTAAACATGCCAAGCTCTTTGAGTCTCCTCTCGTTTTCTATTACTTGGATCATCCTAGTTGCCTGTTTCAGCTTGAATTCGTTTTTCTTTAAACATGGGAGACCAGAATTCCATTACCTTCCTAAAATGACAATGAATCCACAGAGATAAGACTCTCATAAGATTTATTATCTGGATTTTCCAAACACCATTCAGACTGCCATCATGTGAAATGTCAAAATTTACTAAACAGGGCTTAGGTAATAAAAATAAGGTAAGTAAAGATCTGGCTAAAAGGCAGAAAGAAAATGGATGGAGTTAAAGAGACACATTCTTAGTGGATGTTGGTAAGGAGTGGAATCAGACAGAGCTTTACATTGGTAATGGACTGATATCCAGTACTTACTTACACAAAGCTGTATCAAGATCGCTAAGTTTACCATGTGATCTAAAATAGGGCAAGGGCTCAAGACTTCACGGATGAACTATTCTGCAAATATTCTTGATTAGGCTTAAAGCAGAGTATGATTTAAGAAGTACAGATTGGACCTCTCTGTTCTGACACACTCAGGACCTGTCCAGTCCCAAACAAGGGGATTTGCCAGACCAAGGAGAGGTCCCTTCCATAATGGCCCATGTTGCCCTGCTGCCTCTGGGCTAGGGTTTGAGCCGGGCCCTGCTACTGCTCCAGTGCCCTGGGGCTTTCTAGCTGCCGTGGGCTCAGCTGCTGTGGGGGCCAGAACGCCACAGCCAGAGCTCCACAGCCACCTGGCTCCGTGGCCAGGCCCAGAGCTCCCTGGCTGCCACTGGGGCTGGAGCTCCCCAGATGCTGGGGCCAGAGCTCCATGGCAGTGGTGCTGCAGCCCCAGTGGAGGAAGCTCTGGCCCTAGCTGCAGAGCCAGATGGCTGCAGAGATCCAGCCCTGTTAGGTTGCTCCGGACCTGTTCTGGCCCCAGCAGCAGCCAGGGAGCTCCGTCCCCAGATGGGGCCAAAGCTCCGTGGCTAGGGCCAGTGCAGAGTTCCCTGACTGCTGGGGTCAGAATAGAGCTGGAGCTCCATGGCTGTGGAACTCCAGCCCCAGCGGCAGCCAGAGAGCTCCGCTCTGGCTGCAGAGCTTTGGTCCCAGCCGATGAGCCAGGCGGCTGTGGAGATCCCCTGGATGCCACGACCAGAGCTCCCTGAACATGGCTGAGCTGGAGCTCCCGTCACTGGGGCCAGAACTCCCTACCATGCTGTGTCGTGCCACCTGCTTCCCCAACACGAGACCCCTGGCTGAATCACCAGCTTCCCCTACCATGTTCCTGCCCCATCGCCAGATCTCCTTGTTCCTGGGCTCTCTGGTCCAGGAACATCTGTGGTCCGCCGGACCAGAGAGTCCAAGTTTAGGGAGGTACAACCTATATAAGGCAAATGCATCTGCAAAAAAACAATATTGAAACTAGGAATAGTTTAAATGTCATTGAAAATAACTGCTGTGGTAGATGGGGTAGGGGAAAACATGTATTTATAGACCTTATGCTGAAATTCTCAGTCCAGTGTGCCACAACTGTGGAAGAGGATAACAGAATATTGTTTTCTATCAAAGCAAATATAACTTAATATTGTGTGCTCTCACTTTGGTTAGACTGGAGTAATTTTACTTATATTTTAACATATTTGTAGAATATAATGTACCGTATATTCCGGCGTACAAGACGACCTCTGAAGTTAAAAAACATCCCCCAAAAATCGGGGGTCGTCTTGTAACTGTGGAAGAGGATAACAGAATATTGTTTTCTATCAAAGCAAATATAACTTAATATTGTGTGCTCTCACTTTGGTTAGACTGGAGTAATTTTACTTATATTTTAACATATTTGTAGAATATAATGTACCGTATATTCCGGCGTACAAGACGACCTCTGAAGTTAAAAAACATCCCCCAAAAATCGGGGGTCGTCTTGTACGCCGGATGCCCCGCCGCCGGAGCGGAGCCCCTCCGCGGCTTTGAAAGGCTCGGGGGGAGCCGGGGGGCGGGCGCCCCCGCG